GATAAAGATAATGATGATGGGATGATGATAAAGATGATGATGATGACACATTAATATAACAATATTTATTGGGATGGCAATGGAAATAGATTTGTTGATGATGATGGCGTGATGATGATATTGATGATGATGACGGAATGATTATGATGGTGATGATGATAATGATAGCAGTGATGAAGAAGAAGATGGTGATGGTGATGATGATAATGATGGCAGTGATGAAGAAGAAGATGGTGATGGTGATGATGATAATGATGGCAGTGATGAAGAAGAAGATGATGATGGTGAAGTTTGTGATGGCGAGTAGATAATGGATTTTGATATGGTGCTTATGAATGACTGGAAAAGATGCTCATATTCTTGATAAATTAAGAACAGTTCATAAATCAAAATTGACGACTGCGAAAAAAAAGAGAGAGGAAAAAAAGTGAGTGAGTGTGTGATTGAGTGAACGTGAGTGAGTGAGTGAGTGAATGTGAGTAAGTGAGGAGGGAGTGAATGTGAGTAAGTGAGGAGGGAGTGAGTGAGTGAGTGAGTGAGTGAGTGAGTGAGTGAGTGAGTGAGTGAGTGAGTGAGTGAGTGAATGAGTGAGTGAGTGAGTGAGTGAGTGAGTGAGTGAGTGCGTGATGAGTGAGTGAGTGAGTGAGTGAGTGAGTGAGTGAGTGAGTGAGTGAGTGAGTGAGTGAGTGAGTGAGTGAGTGAGTGAGTGAGTGAGTGAGTGAGTGAGTGAGTGAGTGAGTGAGTGAGTGAGTGAGTGAGTGAGTGAGTGAGTGAGTGAGTGAGTGAGTGAGTGAGTGAGTGAGTGAGTGAGAGAATAATTAAATGAATATAAGAATAAAATTTTCGCTGAGTGAAAGAATAAAAACTAAATGAATAAAAGAATTGTGAAAGAATAAATAAGTGGGATGAATAAAAAAATTAATGTGTGGCTGCAGATTAATGAATGAGCGAACGAAAAAATTAAACGAATAATTTAATTGAAGTGAATGATTGATTTCCTGATAAATGTATTAAAGAATGAATGAACGAATGAATAAATGAACAAACGAATGAATAAATGAACAAACGAATGAATGGATAACCATAGAAAATATGAAAACATTATATAAACAATTGAAAGAATGAACAAATGAACAAATAATAAAATGAGAAAAATAATTGAGCGAATGATTGATCTGTTATAAAAATGAATAAATCCCCATCTAACCAATTAATATGAAAAAAAAACTTAAATGTATGAAAGCTTTTGTTGAAAAGACATACGTAGACGCTCTCACACATACACATACACACAGACACACACACAAACATTCATACAAAAAAACGAAAATGCAAACATATAAGTACACATCAATACAATGTATACACGTATATACAGAGGAATGAACATAGTAGGAATGAAGTGAAAGTTGCTACAGTAGATACGATCACGCGGGTAGGAATGACGCAGCAAATGACAAATGTACCCGAAAGATATAAACACACACGTTGGCAGGCACGTACACAAACCGCGCAGATACAAACAACCATACAAACAAACATAAGCATAAACAGCAACATACATACAGTTAAACATACAAATAGATACACACACAGACATACACACACACACGCTGATGACACATCAACTCATAGTTCCAAATTCTCTCACACACATAAAGGTACAAACATATAAGCAAACATCATCTACGTATTTCAACATCCAACGAACGCACTTAACATAAAAATTTGGTCGCATACACTATTTACATTCAGATAGTGCATATAATATAATAAAAAATTCTAATTTTAAAAAATTTTCATGCGTATATACACAAACACAAATATGAAAGTACACACACACAAACACACACAAACACACACACACACATACACAAACGCGTACACAACGTACAAACACAGACGTCAACATAAGAAAGTGAATACACACACACACACACACACACACAAACGGACAAGCGTACAGGAATAGACGCTGGCAATACGTCGAAGGAATCAAAGGCTCTAAAAATGCTGTGCGCTAGATAATTTATTACTTTTGTAATAAATCAAGAGTCTCCATGACAATTTATCATTAAAATGCATTTGGAAATGTGTTTCTCTATCTTTACCATATCACTTTCTCTCTTTTCTTTCTTTCTCCCGTTCTCTTTTTCCTAATTTCTTTCTCTGTTTCTCTTTCCCTCTCTCTCCCTCTCTTTCCCTCTCTCTCCCTCTCTCTCTTTTTTCTCTCTCTTTTTTTTTCTTTCTCTTTTTCTCTCTTTCTCTCTTTCTTCCTCTCTCACCAGACAACTCGCAAGGAAAAACATTATTGCCACTTTGCAGTCAAAATAAATGAATGAATGAATGAATGAATGAATGAATGAATGAATGAATGGACTGACGAATGGCCTAATGGATGTATTGACGGATGAATGAATAAAAAGATGGAAAAATGAATTAAATAGATAAATAAATGAATGAGTAGATGGATGGATGAATGGATTGATGGATGGATGGATAGATAGATAGATATATTGATGAATGGATTGATTGATAGATTGAAAGATAGATGGATAGGTATGTTAATGGATGTAATTGGATATAAAAATAAATGACCTCGACGTCGGAATGATAGACAGATGGATTGATGAAATGATGGATGGAAGGAAGATTGGCTTTAAAATAAATGAATGAAACTTTTTGGATAACAAATAAAAAAAAATCGATACGTTTTTATAATTAAGCTTTAAACATTTCACGAATAAAAGAATGAATGAACAAATGAACAGTTTTGAACAACGAATTGATCATTAAAAAAAGCAAAATAAACTAATCAATTAGCAAAAAATAAATACGAATATATACATAATTAATGATTTAGTCAATTAATAAGCCTGTGAACGAAGGAAAGAACAATCGATGAATGGATAAATAAATATATGAACGAGCGAAAACTAAACGAGTGAATGAATGAATTAATGAATGATTACCGTTTTTATACTACTTTCAAATTAATTATTTGCTTGTTGAATAATTAAAAACTAATTAATATGCGCTCTGGATGAAGATGCAACAACGTGTGAATGCGTACTTTTATTATTAATCTCTCTCCCTCTCTCTCTCTCTCTCACTCTTTCTGTCCTTCTTTGTCACACACACACACACACACACATACACACACAAACACACACACATACACAGACACACACACAGAGGTAATTTGTGGTACCTTTTTTATTGTTTGTTTATTGGTGTGTCTGTACATTGTAAAAAGTTCATGCAGTTATATGTGCGTGCATGCATGTGTTTGTACATGTGTATGTAGGTGTGTGTACGTGTGCATGTTTTTCTGTGCTAGTGTGTATGTGTGGTTAAAAAGCAAAGAACAAAACATAAATTATATATACAATTTTTTTGAGAAAATAAAACAAATTGCAAAAAATAGAAAGATGAAAAAACAAAAACCGATAAAAATGTATCACCGAACACACACATACATGTACGTACACACATACGTACACACACACATATTTATATACAAAAAAACACACAGACACACACAAACACTGGTACAGACAGACATACATGTGATGCGAATCCGTCTATACGCTAGTTGTTTGAACGATTGTTTAAATATTTAATACTGTAATTGATGTCTGGGTAATTTATAAAATTTCATTAAAACAAACCAGACACGCCGAATGGACAAAGATGCACACACGCACACACACACATACACACACACACATATACACACATACACACACACATCATTGTTAAGTTTAGTGAGATCTATAAAATATACACGTTTATGTTGTTTATCGTGTTTATAATGGGGAATCAGATAAGTTATGAGCACATGAAAATTAATTTTATTGTCTATAAATACAAAATTTTTCCCATGTTTTATCACACGGTTTTGTAAGCTGGTTGATTGTAAATTAGAATAAGAATTCATTATTCAGTTAATAAAAAAGAATTTTTTTCTTTTTCTCCTCTCTCTCTCTCTCTCTCTCTCTTTATTTGTTTATTTTTTCTATTGAATGTATTGTATGTATGTACACACACACACACACACACACACACACACACACACACACACACACACACATATATATATATATATATATATATATATTGATATTATTTTGATATTAAGAGTTTATTAACTGAAATTTTTGTAATGGTTTCATTGAATTGATTTCTAACTTAAAATAAAATGAATTCAATTGAAATTAAATAAAGTGAAACCAAACTTGAAAGCAGCAAACATTGAAATTGAAGAGTTGGTTGTGAATGGATGCTGCATGGTGCATTGTGCTTGGTGCATGGTGCATTGTGCTTGGTGCATGGTGCATTGTGCTTGGTGCATGGTGCACGCGTGTTTGAGATCCAACGAATGAATTATTCTGTGTTTGTTAGCTTTATTTAATACTAACAAGTTAAATGATAGTATATTTAACAAACATGCCAATAGATAAACAAACAATTAAACAAACATACATACAAGCGTACAAACACACTGGCGTAGAAACATACTACCATACAAAAAATTAAAACGAAGTAGCATACAAAAGATACAAACGCACCAGCATACAAACATACAAACGAACATATAATCACAGTAGCATGCACACAGACCTACACTCAAACATACAAACGAAAAACGAACAATCAAACAATCACTTGTCAAGTAAATGGATTTACATATGCAAATAAAGAATTAAACCGACAAATAACAAAAAAATAAAATTAATGTAAAATAATAACAAAAAAATAGATTTTGGTAAAGAAACATAAAAACACGCAAAAATACAAAAATCCAAACTCCAAACATACAAACATGAATACAAACATGTTTACAAACGTGCGTACAAGCAAACGTACGAACAATTACCCGAACGTACAAGCAATTATGCAAACATACAAGTGCTGTTTCAATTTATTCCTAATAGCCATTAATCACGACTACTTTGCGCTTCATTGGGCCCACGCATGCATGCACACGTACGTGATGAATGCATGCATGTATATGTGCGTACATGTATGTATATGTATGTATATGTTGTTTTGTATCAATGCGTGTAAGTTTTCATGCATGCGTTTATGCATGTGCGTATCATGTAAGTTCACGTTTGCGTGCAAACATGATCAAGTAAGATGTATTCAAACATGGCACAAACGCAATGCCCATGCGTTCGTTGCGTTATTCATTAACTTCATTTACTGTTGCAGATTGTTTGCATTGGCAACATAGTTGGTAGCTGGCTGGTTTTGAGGGATTGTTCTAATTTTGTACTTTCCTTCCTGTGCTGCTTTTTCGCGTTGATTTAAAAAAAAATTATATGTACGTTCATATGTCATACTGTTGGCTATAATCTGTTGAGTATTATATGAAATGAATATAAGCTGGGATCGATGCGTATAAATTGTTGAATGCATGCACCTTGGACTGGAGGTGGTGGAGATGATGTTTTCCACTGAAGAGATCGGTGCAGATTGTTCCGCCGAGATAATATTAATTATTTCGTTTGAAGATCAGTCAGTAATCAATTGAGAAGTGATGTCCCGTGAAGAAAAAAACAAATCAATGAATTATAAGTAGATGAATAATTATTGACAGCAAGATATGTATCCCATACATTATGTTTATAACAGCAATCAGAAAAAACATTTTTATGCAGTTGAATATATACCCAATTGTACTTACGAAGAAGAGTTTTGTATTTTTATGAGAACGTGGATATTGTATTTGCATGCAAAAAATGGTATTTGTATGCAAATTGTTGTACTTGCGCTCGTATTGTATAATGCGAGTTTTACTGGAATGAAGTGCACCCAACAAGAATACTTTCTATCGATTGTCCAACACACGAATTCAAGTATCATACAGATTGTGTGCGTACAAACTGCGTACATACCCGCACACATAAAATTGTGTACACAACTATGTACATTTTTGTATGCCTACAACTACATACTCTTCTGTGTGCACACAATAATGTACGCTCATTTGTATGTTTTGTTGCGTATATATGCATAAATATCGCTAACACATGTACTTTTACAACAAGCAGACACGCAGACACACGTTCCAAAACATCTTCACAAAGCAATCTTTCTATTCAGGCATTCATTTACACTAAAACTTGGCCTGAAAATTTCTGAATTTTTCTTGTCACACATTTATATGGAGTGCGGACTCCAATGGAAAAATAGCCTACAACCTTACGCATAAAACTGTGTTAACTTAACACATATTTCATACTTAGGTGTGCATGCATGCATGTACACATACATATATATATATATATATATATATATATATATATATATCGCAAATACATACATACATGCATGCATGCATATAAACAAACATGCATGCGTACATACACACGAATGCAAACTATAACGTATATGCAGTAACGCATGCATTAACAAGCACGTATTTATCCATGCATACATTACAAGCGCTGATGCATGCATGCATATAAAAATGCATAGTGTCATCATCTTCACTCACATACAGCATAAAAAGCATACGATTTTGTTGAAGCTAACGCACAATAGTTTCAGTCGAGTGTGTACAAACATAAAATGAAAACAAAGAAGGAACATGTTTGAACTGATGTTTGTCTGTTTGTCCTCTCTGTTTCATCACGTATGTGTTGACGTACACACGCACGTAAGCATGCATGCATGAATCTACCATTGTACTGTGTAATGTATTCAGTTAGTTGGCTTTCGTTTAGTTAGTTTTAGTTAGTTTTTTTTAGCTTGTATAGATTTCTTGCACATATTCATATACATTGATGCGTGCATCTGTGTGTGTGTGTGTGTGTGTGTGTGTGTGTGTGTGTGTGTGTGTAATATTCTGTGTATCATGCAGTTGTTGTATAAATGTTTCCATTTATACATTCATGTACATTTTTTCATCTTCACATACCGACCAAAAAGGCAAATACTAATGCTCATAAAACATGCATACGTGCACACAACAACATAAATAAAACCAACATACATCATAACAAGGCTTGTATGCCCTGGTGCACAAACATACAATCGTACACATACACGAGATGGTATTTTTAGTTGTTCGTTGTTGTTGGCCCTCGTTCCTTCTATGATGACGCATTGAACGTCAGACACAGAATAAAATTGATTGAGATTAAATACACTTATGTGCGCTTGTCCGCTCCTTCCTCAACGAAGACACGTAATTTGCATACGTTGTTGTATATTTGTCTCTCTGTATACTTACTCATACACTTGAGTGTGTGTACACATACATGTGTGTGTACGTACTTACGTATGTATTTATTCATATTTTATTCATATCCATTTTTGTATATTATATACACAGGTGTATAAGAAGACCTACTAAGAAGTATTTGTTCATATTTGCATACGAATTCAACGATGTTCGTACACTTGAATGTACGGCAAAATTCATCATTATTAAGTTTGTGTACGCTTGCATGTATGTACAACATTCATGTAAGTGTATGTGAATAATTTATCTAAATTATTAGGCTTAGGCACGTGGTACGTTTATATTATAAGTAGATTTAATTTAACAAATTGTATTTGCGTCTCAATTAATTAATGTACGCCTAAGTACTGTGCGTACGTACGGCGTATGTACATGTGTACGAGTATGTAAGTACGTGTGTATGCGTGTGTGTGTGTGCTTGTGTGCGTGCGTGCGTGCGTGCGTGCGTACCTGTATATAGATGAATGTTAAGAGAGAGATTATATGACGCTGATGTTATGAAGTAGGTAGGTAGATGGGTAGTGCGTTCAAGAACCCATATGCTTAATTAATTAGTCAAACACCACGGCATAAATAATGATGACAACGATGATGATGATGACGACGATGATGTTGTTGTTGTCGGCAGCGATGATGATGATGATGTTTATACGATGATGATAATGATGATGACTCAAAAAACGGTAACTTCGAGCAGAATTTCAGCCATTCTATTGCAAAACTTTCCACAAAAAAAATTTTTTGAAAATTTTAGAAATTTTTTTTAGGCGTTGCTGCATTTTTAAACTGCACAAAATGTTGATGAGCGCAGAAATGACCAAGCAATCGAACATAACCACATATTCACCTATCTGCCATTATCGGTTGGGACAACTTTTGCACACTTATGTAATGAAATGATATTCACGATAAAGAAAAAAAAGAAACATTAAAAATAACAATTGAATTTTGAAAAACAGATTAAAAATAAAAAATATTTTGAATATTAGAACAGTGATAACAAAAATGTCAACCATGGCTGTCAACATCAACAAAAACAAAGACAAAACAAAAACAAAGACGTCAAAATAACAACAAAAACATCGAAACATCAACAACAAAACAAAAGCAACAACAAAGACATCAAAAACATCAGCAACAAAAACATCAGCAGCGGCAGATGAACGAGACCAACAGCAGTCTGAATAATAAAATTTTAATTAAGCAGCCTCCATGCAATTGTCAAATGAACTTTTCAAAAACACAAAATCGTGCATGGAATAAATTCTTTCAGTCCGGTTTTGACATAATCATCATTGCCATCATCATCATCACATCACCATAATTTTCATCATCATAATTATCGTTTTACATTTTGTTTGCGTAATTTATTACAATTTTTTTGTATTTTAGTATCCTTACTGAGATTTTTAATCCCACCACTATTTGTAATACAGTAACCAAACTTGCCATTTTACCATTACCAGCTATACCAGTACCAGTACCAGTTTTACCGCTACCAGTTTTACCATTACCAGTTTATCTTGGTTGGCGCAGGTCAATCTATCTTTAGTTAAAGAGCGAAAAGTGATGAGAAAACAATAAAAAAAAGTAATTATTGAAATAATGAAAAAATAGTCGGAACAGGAATAATAATAAAATAGTTAATAAAAGTAATAATAGCTGATATAAAACCTACATAAAACATTAATATTAGTAACATTTGTAAAGATAGTAGTAGTAGGAATTGTAGTAAAAGTTGTAGTAGCTACATTTGTAGCTGCAGCTCTAGCAGTATTCTGTTAGTGGTAGTTATAATTGTAGTTCATAGTAGTTTTAGAATAATAATAATATGTTTAACTGGGAGCCAACATAAAGAAAAGATGTTGCTCAGCAGTAGTGTAATGGGTTGTAATGGGTTGTAGTCGTTTTTAGTAGTACCTCCAGTCAAAATTATAGTAGCCCTGAAATACTTTTAAATTTAGTAACAGCCATAAACGTCATACTGCAGATATCGGTAATTACAAGAAGCTACTACTTCTTATATAAGAAGCAGTAATAGTAGCAGCAGAAGTAGTAACAGTTTGTAGTGGTAGTTTCAGTGATAATAATGGTAGTAGTTGTAGCGGTAGTAGTAGTAGTCTATTCATGTGATGGCTAATGAAGACATCAATTCTTCCATGATTGAGGCATTAAACGTTCCTTAGCAACCGCGTGCAAGGTCAGTTCGCTTTTGTTTGCGTGTGTGTGAATACATCTGTGTATGTGTGAATATATATGTGTATGCCTTTATACGTTTGTGTGTGTGTTAGCATTATTATTAGTACGTATATATATATATATATATATATATATATATATATATATATGCGTGTCAATATTAATAGCAGCGTCGCTCGTGGCAATGATGATGATGATGATGGTGATGATGATGATAGTGTCAAGTGGCGGTAGAATGATTTTAATGGTGATGAAGCTGATGATAAAGATGGTAATGACGATGACGATAATGTTGAGGATGATGACGATGACGACGACGATGGTGATGGGAGGATGGTGATTGTTATGATGATGATGTTGAGGATGAATGGATTATGAATTTAAAAGTTTATACAAAAGTGATTTAAATTTTTAAATTAAATAACTCATTTTTTCATCTAAAATTGTTTTTAATTCAGGAAATAATCCATTTAAAAGATATATCAACTCTGCGGTTTACCTCACGTCGCCTACCATCGGTGAGGTACGAAAGCGAAACTGACGAAG